CGAGACACTACTAGTGCCACCAGACGAGTCACCAGACGACCGACTAGTGCCACCAGACGAGACCGCGGACTAGTGTCGAGACGAGACCGCGGACCAGTGCCACCAGACGAGACCGCAGACTAGTGCCACCAGACAGACCCACGGGACTGAGAGACCGCGGCCAGACGAGCAGCGCGAGACTAGTGTCACCAGACGAGACCGCGGGACTAGGTGCCACCAGACGAGACCGCGGGACTAGTGCCACCAGACGAGACCGACCAGACCAGGGTGAGACCGCAGACTAGTGTCAGACCAGACAGAGACCGCGGGACAGTGCCACCAGACGAGACCACTAGTGCCACCAGACGCCACTCAGACAGACGACCACGAGAGACCGAGGGACTAGTGCCCAGACGAGACCGAGTGTCACCAGACGAGACTAGTGTCACCAGACGAGACTCGGCGGACTAGTGTCACCAGACGAGACCGCGGACCAGTGTCACGACGAGACCGCGAGACTAGTGCCACCAGACGAGACCGGGACTAGTGCCACCAGACTGAGACCGACCAAGGTCACCAGACGAGACCGCGGACTAGTGCCACAGACGAGACCATGGGACTAGTGTCACCAGACGACGAGACTAAGGAGACAGACCTCGAGACTAGTGCCAGACGAGACCGCGAGGGCCTAGTGCCACAGACGAGACCACGAGATAGTGCCACCAGAGAGACCGCGAGACTAGTGACACAGACGAGAGACTAATGGTAACATGGTGAGTGGTGGTACAGCCCTCCTGGTAACTCCACCCGTTACATGACACACACCCTTTAAATGAAGTCTCACCACCACCACCATCACCACCATCACCACGACCACTACCATCATCCTACCTCCACCACCATCACCACCATCACCACACGACCACTACCATCATCTTCTCCACCACCATCGCTACCTCCACCTCAACACGACCACTACCATCATCACTACACTCCTCGGCACTTGGGTATTATGACGTCACATACCCCTTGTTTATACTACCCATAACCTTACGCATAAGCCCCCCCCCCCCACAACACAGTGACGACAGCTGTTCTACCGACTTCACGTGACTCCAGACCAGTTTCACCACGTCATTAGCTGTGCCTCCAGCCCCAGAGTTGCCTGGATCACCTACACGTCAACACAAAGTCAAGAATAAATAAATCTAAAATCCAAACCATTACAACGTCTTTAAAGGAACACATATCTAAGTCAGAGTCAATCGTAAGTAGCTATGTAAGTAACGCCACATGAAGTAGTAGCACATGCAATATTCCACTTTAAGCCGTAACAAAGTAACGTCTCTTCAACCTCCTTCAAGCAACTTATATTGACGCAACACTCGAGTCACTGATGAACTACGGTTATCTTACCTGCCTATAATACACACACACACACACACAGTGAACAATTGAGAGAGAGAGAGTGTGTGTGTGTGTGTGTTAGGCGCCGGCCGTAATGAGCACTATGATCACGGGGCGATACAGGTAGACTTATCGGTGGCTACCTTAATGAGGGGCTGCTCTGTTTTCACCTCACCTGTTCTCTCTCACCACATGTGTTTCCCCATCTCATCTTGACCCAGAGAGAGAGAGTAAAAGCAGCTAACCACCACAAAGCTCTTGGGTAACACACACTCGTTCCACCACATTCATACGCCGCCAGATTTTAACAATAACACGATGACCAGATATTTCTCAACCTATTGTCGCAGGTATAAGGACCATCTCAGGCTGGCCGGATCACCAAAGATTTGCCCCACCTCCTAACCTAACCTAACCACCTAACGCTAAAACATAAAGTAACCTAACCTAACCTAAACCCCCACCTTCAGGTAGTTCTACGGTGTTTAATCATGAGGTAGAAATAAGCTGGGGGGGCAATCTTCAGGTGATCCGGCTGGTCTCTATACATTCTTTAAACCAGGATCTTGTTTTATCCCTTCAAAGTGTTCCTGTTGTGGCTGGCTACTGTCATGAGGCGAGTGTGTTCTGTACCTCCCGGTCGACAAGATTATGTTGAAAATAACGGGATCAAAGAATAAGCTGTGGAGAGTACATGGGGAAGGTGGAAGGAGGGAGGGTAGGTGGATAGAGGAAGGGTAGTGGATAGGGAGGTAAGGGTAGGTGGATAGGGGGGGGTGGATAGGGGGAGGTAGGTGGAGGGTAGGTGGGGAGGGGTAGGTGGGGGAGGGTAGGTGGGTAGGTGGGGTAGGTGGACAGGGGGGACAGGCACAAGTTGTCATATGAACGATAAAATACCTCGATATTATAAAACACAGACGGATTAACCTAACCTAACCTAATCTAAAAACAATAACCTAACAAAGCCTGATTAACCGTAACCCCGTCAGGTAGAGTAAAATGGGGGGTTGTTAATCTTCATGTAATCCACACAGACTATTACCATTTCCCCTTAACCTTCTCATATCCACTCACCTGCCTCGCTAACCACTGACAAAAAATGACACAAAAGAGATAATACCTTCCTGTTCTCCGTGACGGGAAGGTGTTGGTCTCGGCGACGCTCAACAACACAACACAAAGGTCAACATCCGGACAACACAAAGCCAAAGTCACGACCCCGGGTGTAAGAGTTGACCGCCGTCTCTATTAAACATCTCGGGGTCGTCTTATAAGGTGGACCTGACACCTAACCTAGACTAACCCAACCTAACCTAACTTACTGTAACTACTTTAAGAAAACAACCAGCTATATAGTCTATTTTTTTTTACTATCAAGAGGAATTATCTATAACGTTAATGAGCGTCTTAAGTTATGAGAGCCACGCCCGAGTGTCAGTATAACGTCACTTTCTCTTCTTAAGGCGCTGTTGTCTCTTTTGCTCAAATGATCTCCGATGTGTTTTAAATCTTCTTACATAATAATAAATAATAATAAATAACAAATAATAATAATAGTGATAGTAGTAGTAGTAACGCATCAGTAAATCAAACTCTTAGCAACTACTACTACTACTACTACTACTACTCCCCATGGTAGTACATATATTTGCTTAAACATCTAAGAAGAAAATCACATGGCGACTCTTATGTAAATCGTAAACTATGGTAACTTGTCATATCAGCTAAATCCCCTACCTGGGCAACTGGTTCACAAGAGCTGGCCGGTCCTCTAACACAGCCCTAACTCAACCGCGAGGGGGCCCCAGGACAAGTATCCGGCCCTGAATAGGCAAAGGCCACCATAGTCAGGTCTGGTGGGCAACCCGCGTACAATATACCAGAGGCTTAAGGCATCGACAAACTGGCTGAGAAGTTGGTAAAGACGACTCGGTTAAAACCCCTGGTGAAGGTTTTATGATTCTACCTTCATTATGGCTGTGTGTGACATACCGAACAAAACCTTATTAACGACACCATTCTGACAACCGGGGCATTTTATTTTACTCGAATGAATTAATGTGTTATAAATTATCTATAAAAAAACCCGCTACAATAAGAATAAGTGATCACATGCTACACAGCCCAGACCGTAGAGGAACCCATTGAACAAATGGACATCAGTCGACCAGGTCATGATGTTTCTAGCCTCTGTAAACAAGTTTGAGTGAAAGACGTTTATCTACTGTATGTTCACGATATACGATATAAGTTCACGATATATAGGTGCTAGGGAATGAATGAATGACCGGACAAACTGGAGCCAAGTTCATAAACTATCATCCATGCCAAGGATACTCACATCATGCCTGGTAACTCAACACAAGGAGCAGAATAACAACACAACCCACAAGGAGAGAACAACACAACCCACAAGGCGGGAACAACACAACCCACAAGGAGGGAACAACACAACCCACAAGGCGGGAACAACACAACCCACAAGGCGGGAACAACACAACCCACAAGGAGGGAACAACACAACCCACAAGGCGTGAACAACACAACCCACAAGGAGGGAACAACACAACCCACAAGGAGGGAACAACACAACCCACAAGGTGCGTGAATGCAACACAACCCACAAGGCGGGAAACAACACAACCCACAAGGCGTGAATAACACAACCCACAAGGCGGAACAACACAACCCACAAGGCGGAACAACACAACCCACAAGGAGAGAACAACACAACCCACAAGGCGGGAACAACACTACCCACAAGGAGGGAACAACATAGCATAAACACCACAATGATGAGAGAAATATCGACAAAATACCTTCAGTGAATGACAAATAAAATCTACGTTTCGCAATACAAGACTTAAGACATAATAATGAAGAGCCGACAAGGATGACCCTCACAACGAACACCTTCACCGCTTAAATACCAACAGGTGACTTGATAATACTATAAATGACACCACATCCGCAGGTAGGAGTTGATCTGTAGGGGGAAATCCAATCGTGCTTGTACCGGCGTGTGAGGTAAGACCATGAGAGTGTGTCAGGCATTAAGTTACATTCCCGCACCTGTACACCCACACCCACCCGTTGCACCCCTATTGTGAAGTCCACATTCCAGCTTGACATTACTGATACAATTTATTTCACACGGTGGCCGTCAGCTTAGGCAGGTCATTTTGTGTTGATGAGGTGACAGTGCACAGGTATACAAGGTGAGAGTGAAGGGGGGGATGGAAAGGTGGAGGTGAATGTACCACGGTGTGAGGAGTGAAGGTGACAGGGCCAGTGAAAGAGAGTGTTGTCAAGTGCAGCGTAAGACGGTATTGCAGCAGTAAAATGTAAAAGAAATTTGAAAGTATGCTAAAGACGGCAGACAGAGTTTATATACAGAGGCTACAAGTGTTTTAGTGGATATTTATACAAGAGTTATTACAAATAATCTTATTGAAATTTATATACAGCTGAGTACATCATTCAAGACGACTCAAGTTTCCTCGGAGAATCTGGAGAACATACGAGAGAGACGCCCGGTGATCTGGGTCTGGACAGCCGGTGAGAGCTGCCACTAACTGTAAAGAATACTTTAACCACGCAACACCCTTAAATGTCTATACAACTGTACCAATTATTGTACTGAAAGAAAATACATCACTGGCAGGAGAGGTTGGTTGACCATTGGAGAGTTCCGGTGCCATCCAGTTACACCTTTTTGCGGGGATGAACGGGAACACCTCCCCCGCCATTGTGCTAAGACCAAAGTCTATAACGTGGACTTCCTCGTCCAGCACTGTGATATTATTGACTTTAAGGTCGTTATGGATGACGCCTTTTGCATGGATCTCTTCCAATGCTTCTGCGAGCTTGATAAGGTAACATACAAGCTGCTTCTCAGACCATGTGAAGTACAGCTTCTCAAAAGCTATGCCAGTGTAAGACATGACGAGAGCCGGGGGGGTGGAGCATATACAGTATATGACGGGTGCTCCTCCAGCACCGTCGAGGATAAAATGTTTGTTGGCTTCTCGGCGGAACGTCTTTGGTTTATCGTTTTTAAATGTTTTGAGGACGACGTGTTCATTTTTATATTCAATAAGATGGACTACACCGCTGGTTCCTTGGCCCACAGCGCGTACCCGGCGCAAGTTTTCAAGGTCGTTCTTGATTAATATCTTGTAGAGTAACTTCTTAGAAATTTTATTGTCAATTTGCATTAGATGCTTAGGCGGAAACGTGACCCCTTTCCAAATATGGCTGTAGGACTCACGCAAGATAAACAGAGGCTCCATATTGCCGGTAAAATGTGAAAATCATTAATTTAAGCACAGACCTCAATTCAATATTTAGCCTTGGAAAATATAGTGAAGGAAGAATTTTTACCATCAAAACAAAGTTAACTCCGTCGCTAGGTTATAGTGAAGTATGGTGACGTAGTGAAGATCTAGTGAGATAGAGAAGGTATAGTGAGATAGTGATGGTATAGTATAGTGAGGTAATGAAGGTATAGTGAGATAGTGATGGCATAGTATAGTGAAGATAGAGTACAGTGAGATAATGAAGGTATAGTGAGGAAGAAAAGGTATAGTGAAGATGATGATGATCTTGATTATGATGACGATAATGACAAATATGATAATGATGATGACGATGATAATGAAAAATATGATAACGAATGATGGTGACGATAATAATGACATGATAATAATGAAAAATATAACGTTAACGAAAATTACCCAAATATAAACAATAATAACAATAATAATAATAATAATAATAACAATAATTAAAACAACAATAGTAATAAAAATAATAATGTACTTGATGATAATGACGAAAATGATGATGAAGGTAACTATCCTGAACTGCACCTCACCTACACGAGGCCGGAAACACGGAACATGATCTACACAGGTTCAGTACACCTGGTTCCTTCACCTCACCTGTAGAAGACATTAATAAAAACGACTTAAAAAATATATACGATATTTAAGACGGGAATTACTAACCTAACCTAATAGACGGGGATTACCAAACACCTGAGAGAGAGAGAGAGAGAGAGAGAGAGAGACCTATAGATAGATGGATTGGTAAGTAGATAGTTTGAGTGATTAACTGATAGATAGATAGCTAGATAGATAAACGGTGGGCAAGAATTATACGGTTTGCGGTAAAGGGTTGGAGGATGACCACATCATTACCGCAAGAACCACACGCTCTCTATATACTGCACATGAGTGATGGTGGTGGTGAGGCTGGTGGTGATGGTGATGATGGTGGTGATATTGATGGTGATGATGATGATGTAGAAGATGAAAGTTTTAATGTTGGATTACACACACACACACACACACACACACACACACACACACACACACTTTCCACCACTTTCTACCTGTTTTTACCTGCCTGTGTTTTCATATTTTTCAATCAATCAACACCATAACCACACATCAGACATAGCCTCTTGTAACTAGTGTTTATCTACTGCATCACCCCCCCCCCCAAACAACATAGGTGGCCTGATCTGAATAACCCTTTCAACCAAGGTCATGTACCCACGTGATTGAACACACATTACCTGAGACCACATCAGGGGCTCTCTACCTCTATTGTCTCACGCACAACAGGTCATGACGTCACGAAAGGTCACGACACTCCAGGTCATGACGTCACGAAAGGTCAAGGCACGCCAGGGTACAAACCATTACGCCATTTAATGTCAATAACATCAAAATCCAGGTCATGCATCACAAACCAGGTTAGGATGTCTCACACACCAGGTCATGATGTCACACGTCAGGTCAGTGTGTCACATCAGGTCATGGGGTCACACGATGAAGGCCTTGCACTGAATCAGTTTACTCGTGACACAGAGAAGCCAACCACGATACATAATACTCTCTGAGGTTGGGAGTCACTCAAGAGGACAAGTCAGTCAGAGGCCCGACTCACTCAAGAGGACCGAGTCACTCAAGAGAACCGACTCATTCAAGAGGACAAAGTCATTCAAGAGGACCGAGTCACTCAAGAGAACCGACTCATTCAAGAGGACCGAGTCACTCAAGAGAACCGAGTCCGCACAAGGGGCATGAAGGAGACAAGCCGCCGGTCTTATTTGGTCTGCAGTCCTCGGTGGCGGGGACTCTTGACTCTAGCGGTACTTGTGGGCGCGTGACTGTGATAACGTACAATCAACCTCTTCTGGCACCCTCGTTACTCATGACGCACGCCCACCGCCCACACCCACCCTACATAATCCACGCCCAAACCCTCCCCTAGTTTTCTTTACATGACCCACATTCACCTCTCATATCCACCCTCTCTCCTACTTTCCTACATGGTCATCCACACCCACTGCCAACACCCATATCATCCAGTCTTCCTTACATGATTCCCGCCCATTAATCAAAGCCACGAGTCCAAACCTTCTGTACCCACCCCTCACACACACACACACACACACAGTTGGCCTAAAAATGTCACTTTCTCACGTACACCAGAGAAAACCACCTCACTATACCACCCCAACACTGCCAACCTCCCATGTGACCACCACCCATATAAACAAACTAAACAGTCTGTCTGTCTGTCTGTCCTTAAAATATCTCAAGAGCAAGTTTAGCACCACACTTTATAGGTTCATATGATAAACTTTTGGTGCTAGTCGCGACAAAATTGATCAAGTATTACTATGGTAGCAGTTGTCGGCGGTTAAAGAAAACGGTAACATGAATCATTCTTCAGCGGTGACTGCGTTAATTTACAGCAATAACGCCACACTATTTCGATATTTACCCTGCCATGGTAACGGTTCACGGACTTCATACGCTTGGAAGATTTTTAATTAGCCTTACCTACCTACCTACCTATCTCTCTGCGTTCCTCACAATATTGGGTCAGTCATGTCAATATTGTTATTATTGTCATTTGTGAATCTGTATTTTTCTGGCCAAATAAACCATTTCAATATCAAACTGTTTTTGTTTCAATATCCCCTCCGTCCTCACCCCACCTACCTACCCCTCCCTCCGTTATCTTTCTTCCCCCTCCTCACTCTCTCACCCTACCTACCTTCTCCTCCCACAGCGGGTGATCAGCAGCAGATAGTGGCGAGGAACACTAAGCTTCTCTCCTCCCCGCCTCCACAAACCACCCACATCACCGCGCATCAGACACTTACAAATTGCTTTTAATCTCTCAAGGGGCTGGTCACCCTCTGTCGGCGGTGGCTTCCTCACGCCAACTACCTCACCACTGTTTTGTTTTGCTAATCTTAAAATTCACTAAAAGACATTCTACCCCTGGTCAAAAAATATAATAGCTGATGTTATTTATTTTCACCCTGAAGTATACAGATGATTGATGTATGTTAATGTTTTCTCACGTTTAGTTGACATGAACATATGTAGTGAATCTCTCTCTCTCTCTCTCTCTCTCTCTCTCTCTCTCTCTCTCTCTCTCTCTCTCTCTCTCTCTCTCTCTCCTTGTAGATCCCCTCCCTCTATATTACCTCCTATCCACACCTGTTCAGCGTTACCTCCTCTACACACCTGTACTTGTGGTGGGTTTCTTCATAACCTTTGACCCCGACATTAGTATTACCTGTCCTGCTTCTTCAGCCTTGACATCTTATTCATAAATGACGTCACGCACACCTGGCACAAGAACTTCTTAAACACCGGCACAAATATTATCACCCATTATCTCTCATTTATTGTGATATTTCTCTCACCTTGGACTATTTCTTCTTCGTTGTCTTACACCTCAACAAAATTACCGGAGATTAAAATTTTGCGGTGTAATATTTATCATTGTTTTGTTATTTAGCAGTTAGTGACAATCTCTCTCTCTCTCTCTCTCTCTCTCTCTCTCTCTCTCTCTCTCTCTCTCTCGTTGTATTATCTTGGATGGAATTAGTTAACTAGAGATAATTAATTTAAGTCGAGTATTAAGACATAATTACAATGATTAAAACCAGCCCGCAGCCATGTACGTGTCTGTGTGCGTGTGTGCGTGTCCGTGTGTGTGTGCGTGTGTGTGTGTTTTATGTGAGGTCAATAAACGGAAACACGAAATAAATAAAGAAATAAAAACAGGATGGCTCATTGCTGGCCAAACACTTAACACAATGTAATTTTATACCGAAAACTGTAGGTCAAAGGTGAAGGTGGCGATAACCTAACACACGAGAGATATTTCACACCTGTCATTATAATAACAACTACTAATTATAATAACTTGAAAAAGCAATAATAATAATAATAATAATAATAATAATAATAATAATAAACGATAACAAATTTAATAATAATAATAATAATAATGATAATAATAATAAATAATAATAATAATAATAATAATAATAATAATAATAATAATAATAATAATAACGATAACAAATTTAATAATAATAATAATAATAATGATAATAATAATAAATAATAATAATAATAATAATAATAATAATAATAATAATAATAATAATAATAATGTCACCTGTACACCTATCTACCTACAGGAGGCAGAATGTGAGGTCTTTATTAAGGTAGACTTCCATGGATGATTGAACACAAGATGAACATAAAGACAAGTGTCATCACGGGGGATGGATGACACGGACGGGTGAGGAGGGATGGATGACACGGACGGGTGAGGAGGGATGGATGACACGGACGGGTGAGGAGGGATGGATGACACGGACGGGTGAGGAGGGATGATGACACGGACGGGTGAGGAGGATGATGACACGGACGGATGGGGGATGGATGACACGGACGGGGGGGAGGGATGGATGACACGGACGGGTGAGGAGGGATGGATGACACGGACGGATGGGGGGATGGATGACACGGACGGGTGAGGAGGGATGGATGACACGGACGGGTGAGGAGGGATGGATGACACGGACGGGTGGGGGATGGATGACACGGACGGGTGATGGGGACACGGACGGGTGAGGAGGGGATGACACGGACGGGTGGGGGATGGATGACACGGACGGGTGAGGAGGGATGGATGACACGGACGGATGGGGGGATGGATGACACGGACGGGTGAGGGAGGATGATGACACGGACGGATGGGGGATGGATGACACGGACGGGTGGAGGAGGGATGGATGATGACACGGACGGATGAGGAGGATGGATGACACGGACGGGTGGGGGATTGATGACACGGACGGGTGAGGGATGGATGACACGGACGGGTGAGAGGGTGGATGAGACGGACGGGTGAGAGCTTTGTCCGCAACACAAGGAAGGCGCTGATAACCTGAAGTTTACACACC